GAACTTGATCTTATCTGAGAAGCACTTTATCTGTCCTCCCATTCTAAATGAAAATTTTGCTGGATAGAGCAATTTTGGTTGTAGGTCTTTGGATTTCATGACTTGGAATACTTCCTTTCAGCCCCTTCTTGCCTGCAAGGTCTCTTTTGAGAAATCAGCTGACAGTCTGATGGGAATTCCTTTGTAGGTGACTGTCCCCTCATCTCTTGCTGCTTCTAGGATTCTCTCCTTCATTTTAATGTTGGCTAATGTATATGATGATGTGCCTTGGTGTGTTCCTTCTTGGGTCCAACTTCTCTGGGACTCTCTGAGCTTCCTGGATTTCCTGGAAGTCTATTGCCTTTGCCAGATTGGGGAAGTTCTCCTTTATTATTTGTTCAAATAAGTTTTCCACTCATGGCTCTTCCTCTTCCCCTTCTGGGACCCCTATAATTCAGATGTTGGAGCATTTAAAGATGTCCTGGAGGTTCCTTAGCCTCTCCTCATTTTTTTGAATTCTTGTTTCTTCATATTTTTCTGTTTGGTCATTTTTTTCATCCTTCTGGTCCACTTCCTTGATTTGAGTCCCAGTTCCCATTCCATCACTATTGGTTTCCTGTGCAGTTCCCTTCATTTCAATTAGTTTAGCTTTCATATGTTCCTCTAATTTGTGGCTAAAATCAACCAATTCTGTGAGCATCCTGATCACCAGTGTTTTGAACTGTGCCTATGATAGGTTGGCAATTTCTTGTTCGCTTAGATTTATGGGCTCTGGGGCTCTGAGTTCTTCTTGAACCATGTTTTGATGTGTTCACACCAATTATGTAGGAGGAGAGGAGCCTTAGTTGTTCACCAGGGCGGGGCCACCCAGGTCACTGGTTTGTGACACTGTATGTGGGGGCGGAGTCAGAGAGGGAGCAATAGCAGTCCCCTCTGCTGCTTCCCGCTGCTGGGGCCTGCCCAGTCTGTCTCACTGCTTGCTCCTTCACTGGTTTATCTGTGCACAAATGTGTGACCGTGGTCAGCCTGCTGCTTTGTGCCTTCACTGGGTCAGCCTGTTGCTACCCCACACCTGGGATTCACCCTTGGCTGCCTGTGCGCCTGGGTCACCTGGGTTGGGGGGACCTTCTTTGCCCAACCAGCTCTGCTGCTGGCTCCGCCCCTCTTACCGGTCTAGCTGAGTGGTTTGTTGTTGTCAGTCTCCCGTATTGTTCAATTTTCTGTGGTTTGATTATGTTTTTTGTTATGAAAACTTGGTTGTTTTTAGACTTGGTTGTGTGAGAAGGCACAATGTTTCTACCTACACCTCAATCTTGGTGGAAGTCCTATGTTCCCCCTCTCTTTTTTTATCTTGGGTAAGTTTTGGTGATTTTCAGTTTTCAAGGAATTGGGCCATACCATCTAACTTGTTAAATTTATGTGTAGAGAGTTGTTTATAATATTCTCTTATTATTTTTTTAATGTCTACAGAGTCAGTAGTTTTATCTCCATTTTAGTGTGGCTATTGGCAGTATGTGCCATATTTATTGTGTTTTTTTGTTGTTATTCTTGCTCAAGTTTTATTTTGTATCCAAAAAGTAACTTTTGAATTATTTCCCTCTATTTTTGAACAGTATACTTTTCCATTTTTTATTTTTATGCTCTTATGTTTACCATTTCCTTCCTTCTGCTTGCTTTGGGCTTATTTTGCTCTTTTTTTCTAGTTTTATTTTTAAAATATTTTAAAGAGATTTCATTTAATTTTTAGAGACACAGGAAGGGAAGGAGAGAGGCAAAGAAACACCGATTGCTTGCCTCTCATACATGCCCAGACCAGGGACCAAACCCACAACCCAGGTATGTGCCCTGACCAGGAATTGGACCAGTGACCTTCTGCTTTAAGGACATGCCCAACCAACTGAGTCATTTGGGTCAGGGCTCTTTTTCTAGTTTTCTTAAGATGAAAACTTACATCATTGATTTGAGACCCTAAATAAGCACTTTAATACTGTAAATTTTCCTCTAAGTGCTGCTTTATCTGCATCTCACAAATGTTCATATACTATTTTTTACATCAAAGTATTTTCTAATTTCCTTGGAGATTTCCTCTTTGACTTATAGATTATTTAAAAGTATACTGTTCAATTTCCAAGTGTTTGGAGATTTTATTGTTATTCTTCAGCTTTTGATTTCCAAGGCAATGCCATTATGGTCAAAGAACATACTTTGTATTACCTACAATTCTTTTTTTTTTAAATTAGTATTTAAAAAATTTTTTAAAAAATATATCTTTAGAAGGAAAGGGAAGGAGAGAAGGAGAGAAATATCAATGTATGGTTGCTTCTGGTGCATCCCCTGCTGGGAACTGGCCTGCAACTCAGGCATGTGCCCTGACAGGGAATCGAACCATGATCTTTTGGTTCACAGGCCCGTGCTCAATCCACTGAGCTACACCAGCCATGGCATGTTTTACCTACAATTCTTTTAAATTTGTTAAGGCTTATGACTCAGAATATAGCCTCTTAGTGAATCTTGGAATCTTCCCCAAGTACTTGAAAAGAATGTATATTCTCTTTTGGAGTGGGGTGTTCTATAAATGTCAATTAAATCTAGTTTATATGGTTAAGATTTTCCATATTATTATCTTCTATGTCCTTGTTGACTTTCTGTTCCCACTTTATTACTAAGAGATTATTGAAGTCCCCAACTACAATGGTGGATTTGTATTTTTTTTACTTCGGACAGATTTTGCTTTGTGTATTTTGAAACACTATGGTTAGATATATAAACAATTAGAATTTTTATGTCTTCTTAATGAATTGACTCCTTCTTTATTGTTATGACTTTCTTTATCCCGGGTCATTTTCTTTATTCTGAAGTCTACCTTGTCTGGTATCAGTACAGCTATTGCAGTTTTCAAAGAATATCTTCTTCCGGTCTTTAACATGTACTCCTTAGATATGTGGAATGAGTTTCTCATATACAGCACATGTTGGTTCATATGGGGTTTTTGTGTGTCCATTTTTAAATCTCTTTTCTTTGGTGTACTTATGTCATTTACCTGTGATATAATTATTGATATGTTCAAGTTTAGGTCGACACTGGCCACTAGTATTATGAAAGTAGTCGAAAGGAGCTGGGGTGGGTTTCACTATTCAGTATATAGGCTTTTCATTTAATGTTTTTTGCCTGACCTGAATCTGGGACCCCTCCACTTCAAACTCTCTACCAAGTAAACTTTCTGTTTCACAGAAGTGACTAGGAGTGCACTCACTTGGCTATTTGTCCTAAGGATAATATTAGATTCTAATTTATCTAATATTATTCTCGTTTATCCCATAGGATAAATTCTAAACCTAGAAGTCTAACTACTCTGTACAGATTTTCTTTTTTTCTGTACAGATATTCAGTCAACCTTCTAGTCTTTCCTTCCATACCTTCTCATTGATGTGGACCTCTATTTTATGAGCTGTGGTATAAAACATATCTTTGGTCTTTGTCCCCAGTTTCTGGCACAGAGCTCCTAAAATTTTTGCAATTTCATAAATGATAGGAGTAGCTTTTGTTATCCAGAATGTGCTCCTTTTGAGTTAATGCTGTAAATTTTCCTCTAAGTGCTATTTTATCTGCCTCTCACAAATGTTCATACACTATTTTTTTACTTCAAAGTATTTTCTAATTTCCTTTGAAATTTCCTCTTTGACTCATAGATTATTTAAAAGTATACTGTTTAATTTCCAAGTGTTTGGAGATTTTATTGTTATTTTTCAGCTTTTGATTTCCAAGGCAATGACATTATGGAATGGCATTGCTAATTAGCATAATATTTTGCTAATAAAGTGATTTAGGGGAGGGCCCATATGTAGCCAGCAGATCTCCAGGAAAGGGAAAGAAGAACTAGAGATTAAGCTCTATAAACGCCCTGGACAGGCAGATCAGTGGGTTAGAACATCATCCTAATATGCCATGGTTGTGAGTTGAATCTCTGGTCACAGAATATACAAGAATCGATCGATGAAAGCATAAATAAGTGGAACAACAAGTGGATGTCTTTCTCTAAGTCAATTTGTAAAAAATTACTGTAAGCTCTAGAAAAACTCTTAAATGAGGAGATATGGTGAACTTTTAAGCTGGTGAACATGTGGAGGTGCTAGAAAGGTAGTACACAGAGAGCATGGAAGCTCTGTGCTTCTTCTCCCAACCTTACCCTATGAAGCTCTTCCATGTGGCTGTTACTGAGTTGCATCCTTTTATAATAAATCAATAAACTTAAGTAAATATTTCCCTGAGTTCTGTCAGCCATTCTAGCAAATTATTGAACTTCAGGAGTCATGGGAACCCTAATTTATAGCTGGTTGGTCAGAAGCACAGGTGACAACCTGGACTTGCAATTGGTATCTGAAGTAGGGGTAGTATTGAGGGCTAAGATGAGATTCTACAGAGAAACACAATCAATACAATATATAAAAGATAAAAGATTTGTTACAGGAATTGGCTCACCTTAGAGAGTCTGAGAAGTCCCACACTATACTGTCTGCAAGCTGGAGAAATATGAGTCAGTGGCATAATTCAGTTTGAGTCTGAAGGCCTGAGAACCAGGGGAACTGATGGTGTCACTCCTAGCACACAGGGGCTCAAAAACAAGGAGCACCAAAGTCCAAGAACAGGGCATCCCAGCCCCAGGAGAGAAAATTTGCCCTTCTTTCACCTTTTTTTGTTTCATTTGGGTACCCGAAGTGATTGGATGATGCCAGCCCGCTTTTGTGAATCTCTTCTCAGTCTACTTAATCAATTGCTAATCTTTTCCAGAAACGTCCTCACAGATGCATTCAGAAATGTTTTACCAGCCATCTGGCCATTCCTTAGCCCAGACAGGTTGACACATAAAATGAACCATCACCGTTCTTAACCTCAGGGATCTGATGCTATCTCCAACTAGGTACCGTCAGAATTGAGTTAAATTTATAGGACACTCAGTGTCTGTTGAGAATTCCTTGGTGTGTCGTCTGTGGCCATACCACCCTGAATGTGCCCCATCTTACCTGATCTTGGAAGCTATGCAGGGTCGGGCAAAGACTGTGGGAGAACTGCTTGTTGTGGGATAAACCCTCACACATGAGGTGTCAGAGCACTGAAAGTACAGGAGAAAAATAAAGTTTTCCTTTACAGAGCCTTTCTGGAGTTCTGAGGTGTGAATTACTTTCCCTCTAATTGTGTTCCCCTTTGCATTTAGCTTTCTTAGCTCTGACGGTTTCTTCATCCCCTTTCCTTCTTCCAATAAGAATACACCAATATCGCATTCTCTATTGTCTCTTTCCCACTCTTAGTCCTTGTGGGTTTTTTACATTTTCTCATTTCAGTGGAGTTTCACAGGGAAATAAGATAAACACATGTTTAATCTCCCTTGTTTATTCACTCACTTTGTAGAATATTTGTTTTCAAAATTGTGAATTCTTTTAAAATAAGTGATGCAGTTATAAAATACTTAAGTGATATTAACAAAATGTTCATAATATATTCATCCCATTTCATATCTTTGTTTTCTCTCATTACAAAGGTATACTTGCTTGTTATAATGTGGATGAAAAAGGGGCCACATACTAAGCCTGACAAGCTCCCAACAGGCCTTGGTGGGACATACAAACTCAGAGACTGAAAGTAACTGCATGGGATGGTCTGAACATAAAAATTTCTAACTAAAAGCAGATCTAGAAGGATAATCACATCCTAATCCTGATGCTTCCTTGACAAGGGTCAATCTTTGCCTTAAGTGAGCCTATTGTCTTTTTTGCATCTATGACAACAAATCTTCGAAACATCAGAAAAATCCCCTTTTCCAGACCCCACAGGTAACACCCCCCACACCAGAGCAGGAGACCACAAAACCCCTCATCATTAACTTGTTCCTCAAATACCATTTCTGTATGCTGTAAATATTAACTATCCCCTACCCACCCATAAAAGAAGCAGGTGTCTCTCCATTTTACTTTATATCCAATCCCAGAGATTTCCCCAATTTGCTTTCTCCCACCCCCTTAATCTACCAGTGAATTTCATGTAAGCCTCCTGATGTCTTCTCTTGTGATTCTTATGTATAAAATAGCTACAAAACTGCCATTCTCCAGAGTATTTTCTCAGTCCATTGAGATTTTACCTCCGGGCAATTGTCCCAGCAGTTTGGACACAGGTTTCGATGTTTCTTATGTTGACAATATTTTCCAAATGATACAGTATTATCTAACAAAGGTGAAGTCTCTCATAGGCCTAACCCCAAAATAAAGTGAGAGGTTGGTCTCTAGTGAATATACTGTTTAACGACTCTATTATTTGTAAGATATAATGATAGAAAAAACACACTAAAATATTAACATCAGTTAACTCTGGATAGTGGAATAGAGTTCCCCCTTTTTATCTATATTTTCCAATGTGACTAAATAAACATCCAATTACAATGTTAAACTTTGTGTCTCTTTCTTAAAATACATGTCATTATATTCAAAATCTTCTTTATGCATTTTCTTTTCAAGTTTTCATTTAATTTAAAATAATATTCCAAGAATAAAATAGTAAAAGGCTGATATTTACAAATTAAGTTTTAAATTCTAATAAGCAGTAGTCAGTGGGTCGATATAACCTACCATGAAGCTTTCATCAATTATGTAATTTGTATTTAAGACAAATAGGAACGTAAGTCTGAAGTTTCATAGATAAGCATACTCTTAATTTTTCCTTTTGAAAATCATTCACCATGTGATCTGGAAATTTTGATCTGGAAGTCTTACCGGGTTTCCAGGCCTCCTGTAGAGGTAAACTCTTCCAAAATTTTGATTCTTCTCCACTCTCTGAGACTCAAAAAGTTATCCTTTTACAGCAAAGCTACAAATTAATCACCATAAAGTTAGACAACTAGCCGAAGAGAATTAATTTTACAACACATTACCAACTGTTTTTAATATCTTGAAGTAAGAAATCAGGAACCCATTTTCCCAGGTAATTCACAAAGATTGCCTTAAAAGACCTCATGTGAACATTTCCACCCTCATCTGTCCTACCTCAAACCCAACGACCGTTTATCTTCAATGAGTCATTCAAAAATTGGTTTATCAACCTCAACTCCAAAAACAAGTTTAAGATTAATCAGGTCTATTTTAGGTGACCCTCCAGAATAAGGAGAGGGTGTGGGCCTGCCATCTCCCAGGCCTCTCCAGTTCCTCAAATATTATTTTAGCGGCCCCACTGTTCACTGCGGAGGTTGTTGGGGGCAGTCATCCCTCCGCTCCCGCTTTCCTCAAGCGGAATTCCCAGACCTTCATTACTCAGGCAGCGTCCAGCAGCAGACCCAATCCTTCCGCCTGGGTTGGCCCTCAGTCCTAAGCCTGGCGTGGGGGTGCTATTAGCTACAGGTGCGAGAACAAGTAACAGTCTCCTCCCTTTTCCACGCCAGTCATTAGCCATTCCCCTTGCTCCGCCCCCGAAGTTCCAAGACCGAAGTATCTACTAGAGCAAAGGGTGAATTAGCCACCCCTCAAAGACACCTCTGCGCAAGCGCAAGCGCTACGCTCTGCCTGCCCACCCCCGTCAGAGAGAAGAGCGGTGGGCCAATCAGAGCGTCCCTCGCCTGTAAGCCCCTTGGCTCTGCCGCTCCCGCTTGCGCTTTTTTAGGGCGGCTTTCGAACACAATGGTAGGCTTGCCTGCGCGTTTCTCACTGCCTTTTCACAGATCATTACTCATAGGAACGGCCTTCCCAAAGGGTAATTCAAAGGCCCCTCCAAGGGTGGAGGGAAAGGACGATGAGAGCAGGAGCGAGGAAGGCTTTTTCATTTTAAAGAGAAAACCTTCAGTTTTCTCGACCTCCGCTTCTAGTTTCTCAGGCTAGAAACGGCCCTGTCAGATTAATAGAGATTGTGTTGAAAGGGAAAGTATTTTTTTTTAATGCTAAGTTTTTTCCTCGTGAGGTAACGCGATGTCCTATTACCCAGAATTCCCTGGGGCTCACGTGGCATGTTTTCTGGGCTGAGCGGGTTCCTTTTACTTAAGCCCCCGCGGGTGGGCAGGATCACACGTGATTAGCGTAGTTTCCTTGCATTTTATATTTGTAAGAAGAATACTGTTTAAAAAAATTCCTGCTCCTTACAAAACTGTACAATAATAAGTATATAAACATATGTAAAATAAAATTAAACTCAGTCACAATCTTGCTATCCAGACCTAACTACTTAACTCAGTGCTACATAAATTTGGAGCCTTTCCATATATACACATAAAGTTTTTTTTAAATAGAAAAATGGGAGCATGTTATGTTGTTCCAATAATGACTCATATCTTTTCAGTAAATTAAAATAGGTTAGTGGCATTTAACGACTATGTATGGATATAATATGTTCAATCCCCAGATGGTTGGACTTTTGGGGTACTTACAGTTTTTCACTTGTACAAAAAATACTCGATGACTATTTTTATATATAAATGTATACATATACCTGATTATTTCTTTACAATAAAGTTAACAGAAGTATAATTACTGGGTCAAGGGAAATGCTCATTTGAAAGGTTCTTGATGCTACCAGACTCTTCTTGAAATGTGTTTATAATAGCGCCCCCCCCATACCTTGTCTGTGATTTCGCTTTCCATGGTTTCAGTTACCTGGGTCAACTGCAACTCAAAAATATTAAATGGAAAATTTCAGAAATAATTCATAAATTTAGGTTGCAGACTGTTCTGCCCTGGCAGGTGTAGCTCAGTTATTGGAGTGTTGTCCTGTAGCCAAAGGATTGTGGGTTTGATTCTGGTCCAGGGTCATAACCTAGGTTGTGGGTTTACCCTCTGTCTGGACATGTACCACCCCAGGTCCCAGGGCAGATACCTGGTCTAAGTGCTTAGGAAGGGAACCCAATCGATGCTTCTGTCACAAAAATGAAAATCAGTAAGCATGACCTCAGGTAAGGACCAAAAAAAAAAAGGCTGCTGTTCTGAGTAGTGTGATGAAATCTCTGATGTCTGGCTCTGTTCTGCTCCTGATGAGAATCGTCCCCTTTTCCAGTGTATCCATGCTGTATGCATAGTACAGTAAGATATTTTGAGGAAGAGAGCACATTCACATGACTTTTCTTATAGTATATGGTTATAATCTTTCTGTTTGTTTATTATCATTAGTCTCTTACTGTACCTAATTTATAAATTAAACTTTATCATACATATGCATGTATAGGACAAAACATAGTATATATAGTGTTTGGTAATATCTGTAGTTTCAGGCATCCAGTGGGGATCTTGGATGTATCCTCCACAGATAATTGGGCTACAGTACTACTTTTCTGCCAACATGTGATGTAAATGACACCTGTGTCTTCTTGCTAATCTTGAGTATTGTCAATGTTTGTGATCTTTATCACCTTTCAAAAATCTTTTTAAAATTAATTAATTATTTAAAAAAATATGTTATTTCTTTATTTTGAAAGAGAGGGAAGGGGAGGAGAAAGAGAGAAAGAGATACATCAATCAGTTGCCTCTTGCACACCCCCTACTGGGCACCTGGCCTGCAACCCAGGCATGTGGCCTGAATGGGAGTCGAACAGACAACCTTTCTGTCCACAGGCTGGTGCTCAATTCACTGAGCCACACTAGCTAGGGCTCAAAAGTCTTTTATCATTTTTATTGGCTTTTAATTTGCATTTCGTTGACCAAGTATACCTTTCATCTATTGGCTCAGTTTTTGTAAATTGACAGTTCATGATAACTGACTTTTAAAATAATTACATTTAAAAAATTACAAGTGCCTTTTGTACGTAATTAATGTTAACCTTGTCTGAAGTACAGTAAGAAATTTTTTTTAATTTTAAAATTCATCTTCTAATAGGGCCTGTAATGTTTATTTACTGAAGGAAGTTTCTCTTAACTTTTCCTTTTTAAAGCTTCCACTCAATAAGACTTTTATTGAAAGGGAAGCCTAGCAAAAAGGAAAGGCATATGATATGAGATAGACTAAGACAGTAAAGAGTATAATTCATCTGAGTTATTTGTATATTATCAGTTTCTATTAAAATACAAAAAATGATATTTTATAAACCTAAAGAAGAGGATACTAAAAATCACTTGAGAAGAAAGTAAATGGTCATAACTTTGAAAGAAAGTTATTTTAAAAAATATTTATTTACTTTTAGAGAGAGGGGTAGGGAGAGAGAAAGAGAGGGAGAGAAACATCAATGTGTGGTTGCCTCTTGCACACCCCCTACTGGGGACATGGTCTGCAATCCAGGCATGTGCCCTGACTGGGAATTGAACCAGCGGCCCTTTGATTCACAAGTCAGCACTCAATCCACTGAGCCACACTAGTCAGGGCTGAAAGAAAGTTATTTATAGGGTTGTCCTAAAAGTTTGTTTTCAGAAGATGGCTCTAGTAGTGCTTTGTTTTCTTTAACTTCATTCGAAACAATTTTGTTGGATTGTATTGCGACAGCTCTCATATCAGCATGCATTCTTAAAAAACATCAAAATTGGTGAATTTTTGTGTAGCCATTTTAATATGAAAGATGGAAGAAAATATATTACATTTTCAGCATATTATGCTTTATTATTGCAAGAAAGGTAAAAACACAACTGAAATGCAAAAAAGATCTTTGCAGTGTATGGAAGAGGTGCTGTGACTGACCAAACATGTCAAAAGTGGTTTGTGAAGTTTAGTGCTGTAGATTTCTCACTGGACAATGCTCCACAGTCAAGTAGACCAGTTAAAGTTGATAGTGATCAAATTGAGACATTATTTGAGAACAATCAATGTTATACCATGTGGGAGATAGCTGACATACTTAAAATATCCAAATCAATAAAGTTATTAGTAAAAATGAAAAATGTATATTTTATTTTACGGAAAAAAACATATGAACTTTTTGGCCAACCCTATACAAAAGGGGGAGGGAAGCAGAGTGGAGGAGAATGGGCTATCCTGACATGATGTAGAGACTAAATAGAAAGACAGGTGTACAAGAAAAAGTATATGATAAGGTTATAAAATGTTGTACATTGTAAAAACTATGTTTATATAGAATTAATCAGAATTAGAACCCATAAAGTGCAAATCAGTAAAAGTTTAAGGTGATGAGCTGTTATTGTGAATTTTTTTGTTTTTATGTAGGCATATCTATAGTCATTTTCTTTGTTTCCAACTTTGATGTTATGCTTACCTTTGTGTATTTTCTTCTACCATTTTTAGGCATCTTTAAAAATATTTCAATTTTTAATCTATTTGAAATTTATTTATGAGGAGAAAGAGAAAAATGTAGCTTGATTTTTTTTGTCTGCCCTGGCTGGTGTGACTCAGTGGATTTGACTGCCAGCCTGCAAACTGAAAGGTTGCCAGTTCGATTTCCAGTCAGGCCTGGATTGTAGACCAGGTCCCCAGTTGGGGGGACATGCAAGAGACAACTGATTGATGTATCTCTCACACATTAATGTTTCCCTCCCTCTCTTCTTCCTCTCTTCCACTCTCTCTCAAAATAAATAAATAAAATCTTTAAAAAAATTTTTTCCTAAATGACTTGTGGGTTGCCTCACACCATTTATTGAATATTCAATTTTTCCTACAAATATAAAATGGTAACTTTATACAATACTAAATTTCCATATGCATTTTTTTCTGTTCTGTTGATTTGTTACCGGACAGTAATATTGTTTTAATACACTTCTCAATTTCTGGTAGGTAAATCACTGCTTAATAGTCTTATTCAGAGTATTTCTTCAAGAATTATCTTTATTTTTTTACTATATTTTATTGATTATGCCATTACAGTTGTCCCAATTTTTCTCCCTTCCCCCCTCCACCCAACAACCCCAACTCCTTCAGAGAATTCCCCACACCATTGGTCATGTCCATGGGTCATGCATGTAAATTCTTTGGCTACTCCATTTCCTACACTGTACTTTACATCCTATAATTATTCAGATTCCCAGGTGAAGCCAAGGTGTGAATCTAGCCTGGCTGCTGCTAGTGGCCTGATGCCACTGAGCAAGAGGTATGGGCATTAGGGGCTCACTGAGGTCAGGCTGTTGCTTATTTGAGAGGATTTAGAAAGTTGTGAAGCATGAGCCAAGGCCACCCAGTCATTCATAGGGAAAAGTCTGGCTAGGCTTATAATTTGGGTGGGACTGAGCCTCAGGGGATCTCCTGAGCAGGGCAAACATTGTTAGCCAGGTTGGTGGAGTCTCAGATACAGCACCTACCTGCTGGCTCTGTAGCTCTGTGGTGGGAAGGTTCAGAAAAGGAACAGTGGCCTCTGCCCACCTTTATGTCTGGGAGAAAGCTGTCCTCCAGCTCTCAGCTCATTGCCAGGCACTTCAGTTCTCTCTATGCCACTGGTGACTTTCAAGCTGCTACTCCAGTGCTAGAGCTCAGAGGGAGTGAGTCTGAGTATATCCATGTGTGGGTTCTTTAACAGGAACTGCTTGGGACCCCAGTAGTTTCTTTCACTGACTCAGTCCCCACTGATTTTTGGAGCCAGAAGTTATGAAACTGAAACCGTGGCACTGGAACCCTGGGCTATGGGCCTGGTGTGGAGCTGGGACTCCTAATTCTCAAGATATCCTTCCCAAATTTTTATCTATCACGTGTGGGTGTGGGACCAGCCATTCCATGTCTGCCCTTCCTGCCAGTCTGAATTGATGTAGTTTCTTTTTTTTATTTAAGA